CAAGCAACATAGTATCCTAGATACAAAATCTGGAGTAGAATGAAAACACAAAGACCATTAGAGTTCACACAAGATTTAGCTAAAAGATTAGACTGCCCATGAATATGCTTGAACACCACAGAAGAGATGCACGGCGCACCACACTTGATGTCCGACACCACCGAGCCAACTAGGGAGCGGTCGCGGACAGGAGAATTCACACTGTGCGCCAAGAACAAGCGGTGGGAGACGCAGATCAGCGAGTTGCATCCTCCCAACCCGCGCAAGGTAAACTGATCGCCGAAGAGCCAAGGCCTCGGCCAATTATGGTGCAGGCCTACCATTGGTCGCTTCTCGGCAAGCAACAACACACTGGCCATCAGAGTTAAGAGCGACCACCCCTGCACCAACCTTCCCCAGATCGAAGAAAATCGCATCATCATACATGAATAAAAAGGAACCTGGCGGTGGCGGAGACCAGACGGTGTTCGAAGCAATGCTCTCACGCCTATGCGCACGGTCGGGTTTGTATAGATGCGAACAATCAAATCAACATACACGTTTATCTTATGTGTTGTTTTGTTGTTGAGGTGGTTGTGGTGTTTTTGTTTCTTAAAATACTCATGATTTTTTGATGTGCCGCGTCATTCCTCGCAAAGCCAATGTTTTTTGGTAACGGAAATGGTTGTATACTCATTGACCCACTACGTGTTAATTGCACAATGTTTGTTGTAGTCTAGGAGTACAAAAAAGTAGCCCGATTATAACTAGACTAAAATCATGCAAAAACCTAATCAATACATGTGTGTCACATCCACCCACAACAGACACATGGACACCCGGGCTGACTTGGCCAGTGTCGAAGACTTGGGAGCTGTTTGGATAGTAGCCCGGACTTGCCCTGCCAATATTTTGGTGTTGACTGCTAGTATAGGCCAGTGTTTGGATTGAAGCCCAATTCCCACGCCCACGCCAATTTTTTGGCCATCGCTTTAGTTTCCGTGCTCGTGCGTTGGCGAAACGGGGGCGGCAGATTCACTCGCCAATTTTTTGGTACGCCCTGAGTTGGCAAGGCTGGCAAGGGCAGAATCCAAACAGCCTCGTGACACACCGCAATGGACATCCCGTCAATGCATTCCAGTAACACTATCATCAACACTCATCGCTCGTGAAAAGACCCAACGAACATTGATCACCATGAACCAAGAGGGAGAGACTTTTCAGTTGCACTCCTTGTGGAGAAAAAACCCATCGTGGAAATCAGAGGTCACAACGCACCAGAAACCCCTTCTACGTGGCATCCTTGTAATCCCACAAAACTACATAGTGACTTTACGCTACACAATAAAAAAAATATGTACACAACCTCCACAACATATGATGGACAGTCGATGATAATGGCCATTCATCGAACAAAGTTTGCTCGCCACCGTCATCATAGGCACATGAGACCCGATGCTAACGGATCCAGGGTAGCCTCCCTATCATCCACGCGAACAAGTGAAAGACCAACCGTCTTGCTATCCGAAGGTATTCCAAAGCGATGCATCAAAGAAGGGCATCAACACAAACAACGCAATTGTCATTCGATCTTGAAAAACAAAGAGAGCCTCACTATCAGGGTTGTGAGGAATCGGGGTAGCCCTTGGTGAAAATCCTACTCCGACTTTTGGCTTGATCTTGCTATAGCAACCCTACGCAAATAACCATTCTTGTGGATAACCCAAGCATTTTAGTCGACCCGTGTATTAATTCCTATGATAGCTGACGCGGTTCCCTCGTTCTCCTCCCATGGTAAACGAATAAGATGACATTGGCAATTCTATATTGACGGTGAACTTCATGAAAGAGAAAGAACCATTGCTTGGACCTATTGATCACCGATTTTTAGGCATCACTAGCGATAAGCATGCATCGACGAGAGGACGATGGACAGTTGCACATAGGAGGCTTGCGATAGATATTAACTCGGGTATTTAATTTACTAATACTGATGCAAAATTGGTTTGTTGATGATAATATATTAGAAGATGCATATATATACATGTTTTTGCCATTCAGCAGCAGTGACATCATAGCTTTCGTGGAGTTGACTTGAAAAATATAATGCTTCCACATATACAATTCAGTACCTCCGCGTTCCAACGACATCACAAATCATTTTATCCTTTTGTTCGTGTGAAAATAAACCAAACATATTATTCACCGAACACACCACTTGGGCATCCAATCGAATCCAACCAAAAACATTTGTAGAAACACCGGCGACGTCTTTCTCACGGGTTTATTAAAACATACGCAAAACAGGCGGTTCCATAATTCAGATTCCATGAGACGTGCACTGAGTGAAAGCAAGATCGCACCGTCTGTCTCACGGTTTCACATCAACATCGACGACCCTCTTTCTAGAAAACAAACAAACAAACATCGACGACACTCCAACACGCACCTTACCTCACTAACCCCTTTGCTAAACCAGCAAAGAAGCTGAATTAGTGGTAGGTCTCAAGTGAGTCGCTCACACGTCCACGCTTCTTTCACAGAAGCAGAAGAAGAATTGCCGTCGGCAGGTCAGTGTGATCAGTCTCCTCCCTGCCGGCGCACAGCAGCTGTGAAGCTCAAGCAATGGCAGCTCCAGATTTTTTATCCGTCGCCATCCTCCCACCTCGCTCTAACTAAATAAATCCCCATTACCCTTTTCCCCAAATCAATTGACCACCATTTTATAGACTCCGAACCTTCTCTCTCCCACCTC